AAAGCAGAACCTGGGCCATTTTGGGTATTCGTAAGACAGAATTTGTGGCCAAGGCGAGCCTGGAATTTTCCAGGATCAAAACGGAGCTAGAGAAATCCTTTACACCGCCCAAGCGATAACCGTAGTGGTAAGAGCAGTCGTCGTTGTCACTTAGATGRCGTAAGAGCTGTCGTGACGTTACAACACCGTCCTTTTGCCTTCTAGTTGCAGAAAAAAGTTTGGGTCGCTTGCGTTTTTTTTTCGATTTGTTGTTCTGTTCTTCCTTTTTGTAACACCATCGGCAGAGAACTCTTAGCTTGGGCGACCAACCCATGATGACAGATTAATTAGTAAGTTGTTGTGTTAGATTGGTTCTTAACGCAGTGAAGAATATAGACATGTAGCAAGATTGGAAAATAAGAAATCATGAGAGGTGACATATTCTTTTTCCCAACATAAACGGTTGTTTCGAAGGCTACCGATACGTGATATCTTGCACATGATGAAAATATTATTGTTTTCAAGAAAATATATTGCGAGACAAGATAGCGTTGTGATACACAAATAAAAAAACAACGCAGGCAAGATAAAACCGGGGGTAACCATGATATTAGAGGCTCCTCTACCGCGCGATTAGCGCGACACCATGAAAACGGTTTGTGTGACGTTGTGATGTAGTACTACTAGCTAGTAGCACTACTAGTAGTTCTTGTAGCCAGTAGTCTAGTACAGTTCTATTTTTGGCATTCTGAGAGGAGTCAATTGTAAGCACTCTTCTACACATAATGTTGCTAGTAGTACCAATACTAAATGTGATATAGTACTGTTAGTAGACTAGAACCTCATACCATGCTGAAAGCATCTCAACATTATTGTTGATCTCAATGATCACTGGTGGTACTACTAGTATTAGCTACATTGATACCAAGAAGAAGATTGCAACAACAGTCATCTAGACCATGCAGTGAAAGCAGCAGCACGTCTAGACCTAAGGCAGGTATTATCAATCAAAGATGTAGTACTACAAAATACTAGTACAAGATAGCAGGCCCTACTCTTGCAAAATTTTCACAACTATTTAAATTATACAATCAACGCGTTATTTCTATGATTTTATGTTTTCCATGCTGTTCCCGATAGTGACCATTTCCTCTATTATTGACTTGGCAACTTCTAGCGTGATAGCGTTCGGATCTCCATCTTCCATTTCTATTGCCCTTTGTTGAACATGGGAGTGAAATCGGGCGTAGACCATCATGGGTTTGTTGTCCGCAAACGAATGCCGCATGTGGGCGGGTGTAGCTTCCTTGTATTTCTCCACTTGCTGTTCCATATCCCCAATGTGCCGTGTTGCTTTCCCCATGAGTACCGGTCGCACCAAACGATCTAGAATACTTCTGACGCCTAGTGTACCAAATCGTTTCTCCAGGGTATCGATCCAAAAGGTATTGTAAAACCGAACCTGCGCCTCCAATGGCTCATTCATGCCGCTCGATAGAATCAGATTCCGGGCCAGGTCCACGTGGGTGAAATCGACACCGGGGCTGTCATTTAGCAACAGTGCTCCCATGCCAAAAACAGACTTTTCCTGCATCCACAAGAAAATTTGCTGGACGTTGTCGTCCGTCAGTAGCTCAATGTACATGAGGGAAAACCCTCCCACCTGCTTTTTATACAATCTCTGTAGGGAAGAAAGCACTGGGGTTTGTCGTGCGATCGACGCAGCAAAGTGGTGAAGCTGTTCGGCAAATATCGCAAACGCCGTGTGCTGGATCGATGCCCGGCAATCGGAATCGAAGCTTAGTTCGATGGTCTGGCCCGTCTCGGCGAGTCTTTCTTCCAGTGCCTCCCGGACATAGTCTGTGCAGAGCAACTGAAAGTAGGCGGAACGATCGATGTACGAGGGTGTGAGCATCGGTGCGAAAGGCGGAAGCCAGCCCGGCGGAAACGACGGCATTACGAAAGAGTGAGCACCGTCCCCCGGGTTGTTGTTGTTGCTGCTGCTGCTACTACTGCTGTTGTTCCGCACCAGATGGAACGCGTGATACTTTGCCCATCGTTTCACGCCCTGCACCGCTTCTGCGTCTACAAACAGCGCGGCATCAATCGCTTGGACTAGTGCACTGCTGCTCGCACTCGCGCTTGCCTTGCCGTGTTTTCGGGCTTCCGCTCTCAGTGCCATCAAGAATATGGTGGTGGTGGTCAGGCGTTGCTGCCCGTCGATGCACAACAACGTTGTTTCATTTTCCGCTGTGTTTTGAACCTTTTTGAACATGGTCTTGCCTGTTCGGTGTTCCTCGGATCGGCGTTCGGACACGTCTTTCCACCACCGCTCGATCTGGGAATGGGTCCAGCAGTAGCGCCTCTGGAACATCGGAACGACGATTCTGCTGCCACCGGACAGGATGGCGTCGAAGGACATCGGTCGGACTTCGAGGTGCCTGCTGTTTCCAATTTTCCCAGGCCAGCGTTTCTGTAGGTGCGACAGAGCTGTTGCCGACGTCGACGGTTCCCGGCGCGGCAGTGATGCAGTGAGAGAGCGGTTTGTTGCATTGTTTCCTTCGGACGGGCTCGATTGATTGTCGTTTCTGACGTCCCCGTCCGTTTCATCCGCTGTGTCTTGAAAACTAACACCTCCTCTCCGCACCATTCTTTCTGTTGCTGGCATTGTTGCTGGTATTGTCATTCGTTAGTATCCACTGTGACTGTTTTCGATGTTCTATTTTTCTTTTTGTGAGACAAGATTGAAAAACGGAGAAAATCGGTTGGGACTTGTCGTGACGCGAACGCGGGTTTGCGTTTTTTGTTTCTTCGTTCCTTCGTCTGTTTATGGCTCAATCGTGCGAAATTCCAGTCGTGGGACATCACGATGATTCCCTAGACCCTGCCGTAGTATACTGTACCATACATACCGGTATTCCATCGAGTCGAGAATGAAAGGATCGAAAAAGGCTACAAAGAAGATTTCAAGAAAATTCAGGAATGGCCTCATCCCATCGAGAGAGATGCGCGCGCAAGCAATAAGCGCTTAAAAACTACGGCAAACAATTCGTGGCCGTAATGAAGGCGTGTTCCGTACGAGTACCTACCGGTATGACAGGATGCCATCGGTGACAACGGTGACACACCGACAGATGTCGTGAAGGAGAGCATAGAGGGGTCACGAGAAGTCGTCGACCAAATCTACAAGCGCGGAACACGAAAATCTTAAGACGTATATGGCACATATGGAGAACGACGAGACAAACTACGTCGACGAAGACAGCGACGACGAAGCCCCAGATCTAATAGCTATCGCTCCCGATCGCGTTGAGAAACGTCCGGATGGCGGCGGCGATGGCGACGCGCCCGCAAGCAACAGCCCCGATGGCAGCAACGATGTGGAGACTCCTCCCCCGTGTCCGGTGACCATCCTAAGCGGATTCCTGGGCTCTGGAAAGACCACACTCATCCAGTACATTCTCAAATCCCCCGACCACGGCAGGCGGATCGCCGTCATCGAGAACGAGTTCGGGGAGGGCCTCGCCATAGAATCCCTGATCGCTCGGGACGGCATCGATCCGGGTTCGGGTTCGCTCCAGGACCTGATAGAGCTTCCCAACGGCTGTGTCTGCTGTACGGTAAAGGATTCGCTGGTGGAAACCCTCGAAAACCTGATCGCCAAGCGTTCCGACCTGGACTACATCCTAATCGAGGCGAGCGGGATGGCCGATCCGGGTCCGATTGCCTCGGTCTTTTGGCTGGACGACGCCCTGGAATCGAGGCTCAAGTTGGACGGAATTGTGACCCTGGTGGACGGCCGACACATCCTCGATCAGCTGGAGGCGACGGAGGAAGCGGCCCGGCAAATCGCCTACGCTGATCGAATCCTCCTCAACAAGGTCGATCTACTAGAGGGGAACGCTCCCGGAGAGTCAGTGACCGCCTCATCGGTTCGCTCCAGAAGTGTCTCCGAGGTGGAGCAGATCCTCCGAAAAATCCACCCCACGGCACCAATTTTGAGGACATCTTTTTCCAAGGTCCCGAACCTCGACTGGATACTGGATGCTGATTGTTTCAGTGGGTTCGATCACCTGGAGGAAGTGGAGCACGGCTTGGCCCATGCGAGCCGTTCCGCGGGCAAAACACACGGTAATTCCGAAAGAGGTCACGGCCACGACGATCACAATCACCACCACGAGCACGGCGATGGCCACGATTGCTCTGAGTGTTGTGAGCACGACGGAACCGATCACCACACCGAGCACCACCACCACCACCACCACCACCACGCAGACCACCACGAACACACGCACACAAACTCGATCTCGACTGTTGCCTTTGAGCAACCTGGTACCGTCGACGTGGCACGGCTCAACGCCTGGCTGGCGGACATATTGTGGCCAAACCAGGACGAGACCGACAAGGTGCTGACGGCTATGCTGCACCGGCAAGAGGAAGACGGTGGCAAACACGACGAGGGGAGGGGAGATCCTCCGATGGGCAACACTTGGAACGGCAGGCACGAATCGGGGAGCAAAGAGGGCACGCAGCAGCAGATTTTTCGCATCAAGGGCATCCTTTCGGTCGAGGCGAGCGATGATTATTTCTGGGACGAAAGCGGGGCCGGTGACGTTTGTGATTCAGAGGCCGGGGGCCGTGGCAGCAGCAGCAGCACTACCACCACCACTTTGGTTCTGGATCCGAGGCGGTTCATAGTTCAGGCTGTCCACGACCTATGGGACATCCAGCCCGTGACGAGTGCCGACCTCCACTGGAACACGGGGGAGGAGCGGGTCGGAAAGATTGTCGTCATCGGAAAATCCCTAAGGGAGGCGGACCTCCGGGCCGGATTCGAGGCCTGTTTTTTGCAGGATGCATAAACAAATTAATAGTCGACCGATCCTGAAAATTCGCTCCGGTTGCAACAACAATGCTACCCGTTGCATACCAATATAGATACAATATAAAGTAGAGAAACGTCTGCAACAGTAATCTCATACTGCATTCCTGAAGGAAGGACTGAATGGCCCAAGCGCCATCGATTATTTCTATTACGACAGATCATTATTTCGTCATCTAACGAAGACCATTAGATGAGCTACTTCAATTTACCTTGTTTTCATTTAAAAACTAGGGTGGTCCTGCGAGCCATAAATAGAAGTATGATGAAAATTCTGCCAGCTTTTTGCTTAAAACTGATGTTGCTAGCACAGTCAGACATTCATTTGCAAGAATAATACTTGTGGAGGATGTTCTTTTGCAAAAAAATTGAGAAACGAAGGTTTTTCACTCATCTACCTAAGGGTTACTGTATGTTCTTTTAAGTTGATTGTTGTCCACTTACACCCTCCACCCACCAGTACAGATTGAGCTTGATCTGAAATGCTTAGCCCATTATACTGTGACTGTGCTCTTTTTCTATGTCTCAGTGGAACCTGAGAGGCTTCAATACTATCTTTCACTATTCCTGTACTATTAGATGAAATTAGGTGAAGGGCCTAATCAAGAAACTTCTCAATTTCTACCTATTGTTGCTTCTATGCTAGCTACTTGCCAATACTGAATGTCAAAAAAGACCATCTTGGAGTATACATGTTTCCCCCAACAACAAGGAATAGTCTTTTTCACAGCATGACACCACAACAAATATTTTAAAATATTATAGTACTTTGATATTGATGCCACTAGTACACAACAAGATGTTTTATCAAAAAAAATTAAAGTTAGTATTTCTAATAAGATCATGTTTGTTGTGCAGAGAAGAAATAGTTCTATTTAGTTCTTCTACTAACTCATCACCAAAAGTGTCCTTCTGGTGGTGATCACCTACTAGTAGTATCTGAAAGCATTGATTTTGCATTTTGATGCAAAATATGGTGGTGTAAGATAGACTGGTGACAGACCAAAAACTAAATTATTTAGAGTATTTTCTTAAATTGTTTTGAATACACCTCAGACCCTGTAAACAAATAATCTGAATTTGGAGTGGAACCCATGGATAAAATTTCTTTTTACTCACCACCAGCAAAGTACTACATGTGCACATTTTTATTTTTCAACTTCTTAGTAAATGCTAGCATTATCAGTTTTATCAACCTGGTTAGTTTAATTAAGATTCTCCATTTCTTTAAGACTGAATGGGTACCTCCTACTTTAAAGAAGAAGTCTGTATGATGGAAATTATTTTTTTTAATCAGTGTACCCATTTTTACTACTCCAGCACTGAAGAATGTAAAGAAGTATAAGTAATAGATTTATTGAGATACTTGGATTGTCCAGAGTAAAAGGAATCAACCATTCTGTCATTGTCACCACCAAGCAATTCAATTATCTTCATCAGTCATGTTTTGTTCTTACCATTAACACTACTAGTAGTAGTTAACATCAACAATGTTCAACCTCTTTTTGGCTTTCTGCACTTTTGCTATTACCATACATATTTATTCATGATATTTTGCATTGATACTGCTGGGGAGAAGTTTGGTTTGAACATGCTGATTAGTTGAGGTAGTCCATATTTAACACACCACCAAGAAAAATAAGGTGGTATGATTAACACAATCCATATGCTGGATTCAGTACAGATTCCTGCCTGTTCAAAATACAATAAGAATCTGACCATACTGGAGTTCTTTTTGTCATTCTAAAGGAACTAAACAAAGAATTGGGAATTATTGGTACCTCCTTCTTTGTTTAGACAATCTCATAGAAAAAACTAGTGTGCTTAGGTGCAGCAATAATTCACTGACAATTCAATTTTTAACCCTAGCATTGTAACCCCAACTGCTACTGACTAGTACTATTGAACCAAAAGGTCCAGCTAAGTTTTGATTATATTTATCTTGCTGCAAATGTTTTAAGGAAATTGGTATTTCTCAATCAAAGAAGTGTTTGATTTTGATAAGTCCAATGAAAACAAAGGAAGTGCAGCAAGGATTACAGCAATGTGAGCAGAAGAAAAAGAAAAAAAGGTTTCAAAGATAATTTAAAGTATAATCAAATGGAGCTAGTAGTCTTCAACAATGGCTCCATAAAGTGGATGCCTACTAGCAACAATCCTTGACAAAAAACTGGGTCCAAAAGTACTAGTACTAGTAGCTACCACTAGGTTATTATGCTTCTCCTCCTACTTTATACATCTAGTATGATGAGTGAAGCTAATGCCCTGATATATCCTGCTGGTAGTAGTACACTGTGATGTTTGTTGACAGTGGCACTACAGTTGTTAGTACTACTAGTACTGTTAGTAGTAGTAGTAGTGCTTGCTACTATGGTTGTACCAGTATACTAGAGAATTTGTTTTCATGACTAGTAGTAGAGTCTTAAAATGAATATTTTAAGAAACCCAAAAGACATTCTTGCTGGTATACTAAGGAGAAAGGGGAAGACTAGTGTTTCTTGCTCTCAACAAAACTCCTTCCTTCTTCTGAGTAGTAGTAGTAATAGACATTACTAACTAGGGTTCAACTCACTGCTCTAGTAACAGCTATAACTTTTCCCCAACGGATGCTTAAGTACTATGGTAAGCACATGGTTAAAAAGAGAATTCAAAGAGCTCTCTAACACGGTGGGGAATTATGGCTTCCAATAAACATTGATTGATATATGTGTATGTTTATATAGCATTCCTAATGTACAACTGGTTTGGCCGGATTAACTCCGCCAAGGCTATACGATAGTAGTACTAGCATTCACACCACGGGAAATTTTAATGAGAGTCAATGTGAAGTACCAAAATACAGTAGAAGTATGTCAGGGCCCTCCAGAACCCATGTACACACATCCCCCCTTTCAAATCCAACATTTGGGGGCATGATTTTGTGGGTTATTCTTCTGATGAAATAGCCCACCACGATTCGAAAACTTGGATTATTTTTTACCAAAAACAAACACCCACATTTTGAAATATGGGTTCCTGGATTCCTTGGTCAACCCTCCAATAGCCTTAGAAATAACTCACGAAATAACCCACAAATTTGTTGGGTCTATTGTCAAACATTAGACGACGAGAAGAAACA